TCATGAATAAGGAAGAACTGCAGGAATTGTGTACTTCTCCCCATGAGATGACTTGTTTCAATTAGAGAATTCTCCACACCAAGACTGTGAATTGTTTGTTTTAAGGGGAGAAATCCAGCCAAATGGGCAGTTTTAACTAAGGACAATTTCCCATCCTGACATAGATCTGACTTGAATAAACCTGAAGCTAAAGACGTGCAGATATCTGTCCAGCATCTGCTGAGATGTCCAGATGCCCGCTGCACACTAACAGAGCAAAGGTCCTAGAGATCCATGGGAAACACAACTAATTGAGTATTTTTTCTTTTCCATGCTTTAGATAGTCCTTCAGAAGGCTCTCTCTCCTTTAGAGCTTTCCGGGTAGCAAAGACTTTAACTGCTGCCTCTGAGGCTCAGGGCTGTCTGCAGGCGGGCATGGACCACACCTTGAGAAGGTTGCATGGAGGAGGCTGGAATGGTACCAGGAAGCAAGGAAAGTGAACACAGAAAGGGGGAGTCTGGAAGTTACAAAGTTTCTTATACTTAGAGATATGCTTTTTAGCATGCCAGTCACCTCTAGCACAGGCAATGAAGCCCATCTCTTCTGTGTAGAGAATGACTCAAGTCTCTGCCTCCTACCCTAACTCAACTTTTCCCTCACCTGGATTCTCCTCTGCCTCATATCCAGATTTCCCACAGACAAGGTGGTTTTCTGCCTAGCCCGTAATGGCTGACCACTCATTGACAGGCACAAATTGCCAGTATGATCTTCTTGAGAGATCTGAAAGTACCAAGATTTCACGGAGAGGAGAAGAAAACACTATTCGTGTTTGGAAACCTCGATTCATATGCACTTTTAAATGTAGCAGGAAAATCTGGAGTGATACCTACTGGATCGCTCATTGATGAACGCTCTCCCCACTGGCATCAGAGGCTCAGCGTGTCTATTGGTAAGAATCCCAATAGTCGGCTACTTTCTCTGCTGCTACTCCCGGATCACACACAACGGCTTGATATTGCGTTTCACCAACCTGACTGCAGGCACAAGTAGTTCTAAGCTCCTCTGCACCCCCAGATCTCTCAGAAAATGAACATCCTCAGTAATAAATGTTAACGT